TAGAAGTGAAAGTCATACAGGTTCATAAGGACATTATTCTTTCAACGTATCCTTTACTAGTAATATATAGCAACATTGCCTGGTTCACCTCTGTAGAAGCCACAAGAAAGTATCAAGCTTTAACACTGCTATCTTAGCACCACAATGGCCAGCAAAACCAAGGTGTTCACACCCTACACTCCACAGACAGTCCCCAAACATCTGTGTCTGCTTCGCTCAAAACAGCACCATGCTTCCTTCATAGGTGCAGCTCACTCTGCTAAAAACCCCATCAGAGCTCATTATGTATCACAGCGGGTGGGTAGGTGGGTTGGTTGGTTTTAAAGCAGCAAACCAGACTCTCTTAACAGTGCTAAACCACTCTTTAAGACGACTGCCACACTCCCTGGCCAGCCAAAGGCACGAATGCAAGAAACAGCCTCACAAAGCAGGCTGCATAATGACTTGATGCTACATTAACTCCTGGCTGAAGAACAGAGCATCCAGAGCATATTTTGAAGATGCTACACCTGTCAGAGCTAAGCAACTGGCACCCCATCATCACTGAACACAAAAGCTGTTATACCCACTGTCTTTGGTGAAGGAAAATCAAGAAGATCCTCTCCCCTTGTTCAGTTAAAGTCTTACTGCCCAGCAATTTCTCCTTTCCTCAACTGGAAAACTATTTCATAGAATCATATTTCCTCCTTTCCTTAACTTTCCAAACTATTTCCCTCCTCTCATCCACAGGCCAGCTTCATAAGCAGTTAAATTGTTTTTAAAAGGTCACATTAAAGAAGCTCCCAAGTCACCCAGGCCTCTCTGAACTACAATAATTTCTGCAGCGTGCCAATGCTCACTCGGCGACCAAGCCACACAGGGCCTCTGCCCCAAACAGCCCAGAGTTTTTGGTTAATACCTCCACAGTTCCGTTACGCTTATGGAGGTGCAGAAACATTTTCCCTTTGAAGCACCAGGACTCATACTCCTCCTCTCTTGCTTCCCAAGGAAACCACTTCCCCTCCCAGCTCAACAGCAGCATTCAACTGTGCCTGAAAAGCAGCTGCACCCTTTTAACGAAGGAGGCTGAGCAAGGAGCTACTTTAGGACTCTTAACTCAGCTTCTAAATGCCATCAGCAGCCAGCTAAAGGATCCTAGCTGGGTGGACAAAGGCAGTCCAGGCAAAGGCGGGCTGAGCAGCAACTGGAGACACACAAATAACCTCGCAGCGGAGAAAGAAAAAGGTAGCGATTACACCCCTCCAGGTTGCCATTTCCCCACGAGGCCTGTGAGGGAGCAGTTTATCTTCCCACTATTTTTATTTCTTGCTTCAAAGTGAACTCTGTGTTGTTTAGTACTCCCAGATCAGTTTTTTTGCAATGGAAATAAAGCGGAAATTTTTGTTTAGATAAAAAGCTGGTGTCAGAAATGTAATGGTCTGGTGTAAAAAGGAAATGGAAAGGAAAGCCCTGTAGACTTTGGAAGATTTCAGGAGAGAGAAAATGGAATCCAAATGTAACCATAAAAAGAAGAAAGAAGGAAAAAAAAAAGAAATGAAGGTATTTGCTGTCTGTCTTTGTTACACACTTCTATCACTCTGCAGTGGAGTAGTTTTCCTAGTGGAAGAATTTTTCTGCACATCTCAAAACAAATCGGATGTTTGGAGGTTTTTTTCTGGGTGAAACAGAGTCAAGGCAGGCTTTAAAAAGCAGAAGGCAGGGCTCACGGCTGCGGCTCGCTGGGAGCACAAACCCAGCACAAACTCAGCGACGGCGGCTCCGGCGCAGCCACGGGGTGGCAGCACGGCGGGGCGGCCCCGGCCTAGGCCTAAGCCTCAGCCTCGGCCCCGGCTCCTCCGCCGCTGGGCAGCGGCGCATCCCCGCGCCCGCCTGCACCCGGGGCTGGGTCCAAACCCTAGCTGCCTGGTCCTGGGATACTCGCCTTTCCCGGGACAGTTTTTTCCGGCTCCCCCCGGTTCACCAACGGGGAGATGCTTTCAGCATCCTCTTGGCGATAGTGTCAGTGACACTGAATGCTTCGATACTTTTTTCAATTCCAGAATTAAACCAGTATTTAAAGTATTTACAGTTTTCACAAGTAATAAGATTAATAATGTTGGTCTCAAATTGGTCCAACATGCAATCCTCAGTTAGCAGGTGAGTGGAGACTAGAAAATACAATTTTAAAACTGTCACCTGAATCCAGGCAGCAGGAGTAAGCATAATTTTTTAGTCATATCCTGCTCTCTTCTTGTGAAATTACCTTCCCAAAACAGCTTTAAATAAAGCTGCTTCCATGGTGTCTCTCTAAGAACAAACACCAACATAGAGCACTGCAGGAGGCCACTTCCACCAAGTCCCCTTGGCAATCCCATCACATAACCTGCTCAGCCAACCAAGTTCTGACTTAAAAATTAAGTTTCAAAAATTTCTGACCTTTCCATCAGGGAGAGCTGTCAAACCTGCACTAAATCACTGGAACAAAAACCTTATTTCTAAGATGAATGTATTTCTACTCTTGTACTAAGTTCTGATGGCGGTGCTTCCCAGTTTGGTGTGCATCAGCAAATTTAATTAGCAAATACCTCTCTTTTTTATACCAGGGTCATTAATTTAAATATAAAACAAAAGTCCGTCTCAATTCCTATGGACATCCATAGATAATTTGCCAGTTAACTCATATTTTTTCTTTCAGTACTCCCTGTTTACATTCCCCCACCTTACAATTCTACACCACACACTCACTAAATTAACCAATTATTTCCGATGTGGCATCCAGGTAGATGAATTTCTTTCTCTAAGAGTTTAACTAGAACTCCAAAGGAAGTGCTGGCAAAAGCAACACCTTTGCTTAAGAAATCAAATTTCACTTTATTCAAACTTTTTGGTTAGTCCCAAATCTTCAACTTTTCATCTCTTCTAAATTTACTGTAAAACTCTGCTCACTTTGTTTAGGTAAAATTAACAACTCCAATTGCCTGGATCACTTTTCCTTCCCCTTCTAAATACAGGCGTATCATCACAACTCACCATTTACATGAGACAACAGTAAATTTTACTGGAAATCTTTGCTCCTGACCCTGTAGTTTCACCTACCAGTTCTTTCATTGTTCTCTGATGGAGATTATGCAGCCTTCCAGTCCCAATGCATGGAAGTCTATGCCTCCACCTAAATATGACTACCTCATGTCACATCCTTATTCCTGTAATCTACCTTGCCTTTGCCTCTGATGATGCACATAAGAATAACCAAGGAAAAAAGCTCCTTTTTCAAAGTCTTATCTTCACCAATTTTAATATTCATTTGTTTGATATGGCAGCACAGCCCTTTGCTATTTCATATCCTTCACAATATCTACTGTCCTTGTCCACTGGCAATCTAAAATAATCTAAAGATTATTTAGTCCCCTGGTAGCTACCAATAGGACAAAGGGAAATGCCCTCAAGTCATGCCAGGAGAGGTTTAGTTTGGATATTAGGAGGAATTTCTTTACTGAAAGAGTTGTCAAGCACTGGAACAGGCTGCCCAGGGAGATGGCTGGATCACCATCCCTGGAGATGTTTAAAAGACGAGTAGATGTCGTGCTTAGGGACATGGTCCAGTGGCAGACTTAGTAGGGCTGGTTCAATGGTTGGACTCGATGATCTTAAAGCTCTTTTCCAACCAAAACCATTCCACGATTCTATGAAAGAGTACTCCTAAAAAAGTGTTCTAGTGCTTAGATATGGTATTATGAAATTTCTAAGACACAAAGAGGTAGCATTTATGCTGCCTCTTTAAGGTGAACTACTGAACAGAAGGTAAAACTCTTGGCAGTGATCCAGCAGAAGGTACCTTGAGAACAACCTTAATAATTGCCAGTGGAACTAAGAAGGAAGAAGCACTTGAAAGCAGTATTTTAGAAAAAGGAACATGTAAATATAAGGGTTTAGCGGATAAACACCATCTGATGTCTTGCAGTTCAAAATTATTCTATATAGCAGTAAAGAAGGTCATTTTACAAGCGTAGTCAGGTTAAAACTCCTTCTCCCAAGATGGTTACAGTCAGAATGAAAAGATTATATGGTTTGGGGAAGAGAAATGGTGAAAGAAAGCGCCACATGTGAAGTGAGACAGAGCATTTCTAAAACATATATACTCTAGCTATAGTTATCTTGAAAAAATCACAAATAAATATGCATATTGCATTGTGATAGTATAGCTAGGACAGTGTACAACCTATTACACTGCAACCAACATCTCAGGAAATGGATATGGCATCCAAGTTCATTACATGTTCTAAGTAGTCCTGACCAACCTCCAAATCATCATACAATACCTGAGAATTTGTAACCTTGTGTGATTTTTGCATATATACCCCAGTAAAATAACCACCAAGGAACTAGACAAAGGTGAAAAGAAGAGCACGTGTGTTGGTATTTTTTGAAAAGTAGACATATTTTCCATCTGCCACCTAGTGACCAATTTATAGAGGTAAGAGTAGCATTTAAAATGCAGCTGTATTAAACTGGACATCTTCATGACTCTTCCTCCATCTGACAGCAGCAGTGCTGCTAATCGCATTATTCCCAGAGACAAGCATTATACAAGTCATGTTGGTGTGGGCTCCTTATAGTAAAGCCCTGTAATGCTTAGCACTGGAAAGCTCTGAGAGCAGGGAACACCCTCATTAGAGCTAAGACTGAAGGCTGCCTTACACAAGCACATCTGGTGAACCTGTCACACACCACAACTCCGATTCCCCGTGTAGCTGGCAGAACTGTAAATAATTTCACAGATCTTCACAAGCTTTCTATAGCTTGCAGGATGCACTCTTGTTATTTTAAATCTTACTGTTCCAGGGTAGAGAGATTTCTAAAATTATTAAACTTGATCTGTACAGTCACTCAGTGGCACTGCTGAAAATGTGCCTGGCCCTACCTACTGACGGTAATAAGGGCTGGGATTACTTAATACTTTGCCTGTGTATCAAAAAAGCATTTCATGATGGAAAAAGCATATCTCTGAATTCTTCCTGTGCTGTGAAGAGGCAACCTGTAATAGAAAGGCCATGAAGGGACTAACCAAATTCATTTGAAAGAAAACTGGCCTAAATATTGTCTTATTTATCTATCAAGATCCGTACAATACCATATGGCCCCTTACAAAGGGACTTCTCATATCACTGTCTGTCAGGAAAATAAAGCTGCTTCAGTACCCTCTCGACTTTTATCATTGATACCACAGACTCCTTGGGCTCCTGGCACTGATTCCACAGTTAAATTTAAAAATGCACATGTCTCAGAAACAGCAATCTGCACACACAGACATTTTTTTCACCCACAAAACAGTCCTGCCCTTCACATCATTACTTTATAGTGAATCACTGTTTCTCCTTTCACTTCAGTGCTGCTTCTTTTTCATGGGTCTTCAGAAGAAAGAAAACCCAGTTGATTCTAATTTATTTAATTGCTTTTGTTTTTAAAACAAAGCCTTTTCAAGAAGCATTCTCTTAAACACTGTAATAAATACAAAACCCTTTTCATCAAGAAAATGAAAGCTGCTAAGAGTTTGCTTTTGCTACGGCTCCCTCACATCATTTTTCAAACATGTAGCTTCAAATAATTTGGCACAGATTTTAGTATCAATGCATTTACAGAACCGTCCTGGGCTTCTAGGTACACCTAAACTTTACTGCAGCATGGCAGAGGCAATGGTACCATGGAACTCCATTCATAATGCCTAAAGTCTAGAGAAGGTCTCACTGGTCTCACTTTGCACTTTTTACATGGAAATCTTTACAAAATATTTGGCTTCCTTTTGAAAAGAAAAAGTGGGGGAGAAGGAGGAGAAAGGGAAGAGAAAAGCAAGGAGAAAGCAAGGAGAAAGGGAGGAGAAAGGGAGGAGAAGGGACTTTACACCTGATAGACACTGCCAGATTAGAGTCAGGCCCATGGTCTAACTGAGATTATGAGAAACCCCCAGAAACAGGCCACCATGCTTCCTCCCTATCAGAAAATCTTCTCAAATCAAGACAGAGCAAACTTGACAGAATTTTCCTTGATTTTGTGTCATTATTACTAAATATCCCCACGAGACATGCTTTGTTCATGAGGCAAGAGGAAAACGCCAAGTTTTCTTGCACAAGATTCTCATGGCTTTTTAATCATTTAGTACAGATCATAATAAAACTAAGAATGCTTCCTTTTGCCACCTGCTGCACTGTAACTCCTCCCCACCACGTTCCTTCCCACTTCTTACCTTGTCATCTCTTCCTCTGGCTCTGGACTCCCTTTCACGGCTGCCTGCAGGCTTCTCACCCTTGGCTACCGCGTGTGCTCTGCCCACAGGCCCGCGAGGCTGCAGGCCTGGTGAGTCTTTCCTCAGAGGTTTTACCTCGCGGCTGGGACGTTTTGTCTGAGGTGGAGCCCTGGCAATAAACAATGACAACAAAAATATGCTAAAAACAGTGAGAAAAGAGCAACATTAAGAAGTAAGGATTCTTAATATTTCATTAATTCCCTTGCTGACAAGCCCCTAAGTCTTATCTTCCTATACCTGCAAATCCAGCAACGTATTCATGGTTCTGTCTGACGTCCAAAGTAAGAAAAAATACAGAAGGGAAAAAAAACTTTCAACATTGAAAAAAAAAGAAAATTAACAATACTATTAGATCGGTACTTCAAACCAATTTTACAACAAACCAATAAGCATGTAACAAAAGAGGAAACCATTTAGTAAAGGTCTTCAAACTGTAGTTTTCCTTGATTTCAAACCAGGAGACTACATTAGGCTACATTCTTATGCAGAAGTGCTACACAACCAGACCATATTCCTGGTGGAGGGGAAAAAAAAAGAAAAAAAAGCTTTGACAGGCCCCAAAACAAAGGGGGGAGCATTTTAAAACAAGCCTCCTACCTCTGACTTCATTCCCCTGTGTGAAAAATGTCAAAACACAAAAACTGCCTAGAAAGCAAAAGCAAACAGATCTGAACTGCAACCACCTTTACTTGTGTGCATCGCCCACGATGTCAAAGAAAACTCAGCAGCAGCACAAGGAGGCACAATTTGGTTTTAAGATGATGTGTCACAGTCATTTTGCTCTAGGGGTTGGACTTGAAATACAGAACCAGGAATGGCACCCAACGTTAATTAGTGTCCCTTGTTACATTGTCTACTGATTCTTGTTTTGAGTAACTCAGTATTTGCTAACTCCACAAACAGTTGCCTGGAATATGGCTTAAAATGAGTACATGCTTAAACACACTGCTGCATAAAACTGCTACATTTTGCTTTGCATATATTTTCATCAAGCTTTACAGCTGGGAAGATTGGCTAGTTTTCCTCACTTATTTGCACAAGATTTAAATTCCAGCTTAAGAAGGCAGATGAACTACTGGGCCTTGACATCTTCACATAATATTATTGCAAAAATTTGAATAATAATTTCCACCACTTACAAAAGCAAACGGCGTTGATATTATATTACACTTACATTCTTAGTTTTCTTTGAAAAGCAAAGATTCATTTGTTTGATAAGCATAAAGCACAAAAATTTACAAATAAATTTGGCATTTCTTTCTGTTAACCATGATCTCTCATTTTACTTGTTCCTTTGCTTATGTGAGTAGACTCATATTAAAATTCTTTGCTAATGTTAGAAAAACATTGGCATGATAGCTGTTATTCTTTTTTTAAATTTGTATTTATTGTTTCCAATGACCTGTGTCAAGCTCTACTAGGATCAAAATAGGGATCTCAGAAAATGCACAAGCATCTGTTTTGAGAAAACTACTAACTAACTAAAGTTACCTTAAAGGTGGTTACAGAAGAAAAACACCATGTGTAATTGAATGTGTTTAGCAATAAAAGTAACCAATGGATTAAACACAGGTCATATTATCTAGAGCTAGGGAGGGATTTCTAATCACCATGTCCTTCAAGATCCTTCAGTTCCAGCTCCTTATGGACTCCTCAGCCATCAATGCATTCAATTGCTTAAATAAACTGAAATGGAAAAGTTTTCTCCCAGCACATGAGAAAGGCAACTGTCACCAAAACCCCCCTTACCTCTCCAGCAGTCTCTAGCTCCAGGCACTTAGCTAGCCACTCCTACCAGAAAAAGGAGTGACTTTCTTTAGGACTTCAGCAATAAATCTATGATTTAATGTGATTTTCACATTACAAATGCATTCAAAAAAGAACATAAAATGATGGTGACCCAACTTAATTCCACCCACTCTATTTGAACCTCTCATTACCTGTGCTCAGCTGGAACAGGAGGGGGCCAAACAGCAGGATCTCGGAAAGACTCATCTTGGCTGGATACAGGGATATCTGCAGGTCTCTCCATCTTAAAACTCTCTAAAGTGTTGACAATGCTCTTAACTTGTTCATATTCTTCAACTAATTCTTGTCGGACCTTGAGAAATACATATGTTATTTACAAATTGTTACAATTCAGGTTTTTTTTTAAAACTTAAGAAGTACCTCAAACCATAGACTACTCTCAAAAGCAAGGACTCCCAAGCCCTTCCATTCACAAGGCCCAGCTCTATCAGGCTGACAACAGATCTTTAACAGTAGCATAGAAGACTGAAACCCTGTTGAGTTCATCTTCCTGCTTGTCAATGTCATGACCAGCCACGACTGCAAACACAGGGATCACTCTTCTACATGTGCTGCTGCTCAGATTTATGCGTGCATGTTGACCTGTATACACACACACGCTTTTATATTAGTAAGGGTGCTGTTGGCAGATCTTTAACATATTTACTACTATTCTGGCATAAAAGAACGTCTCCAATTACAGTCTCCAAGGTCCTAGTTATAAAACTAACTAAATCATTAAAATATAATGTTACAAAATTAACATCGTGAGGAGCACATCATCACCTTACAGTTAAAGCACAAGCCAATTCATTGGTAGATTGCAAAGATTAGAACAGAAAATGGGAAGTTTAACACTCCATAGCATAAGTTCAAATGATAAGTAAGTTAAATAAAAATGAGAGGAAATTATGTCTCAGAAAGAAAGCGCATTGCAGAATTATGCAGCTGAATTTTAAACTGGAAACTCCTATTGCCATTCATCAGCAATTAGAACTACTGCAATAATTCCAAGATTATTTACTTGATATTTGTTCATTTCAATTTTCTTCCAAGAAGCCTAGGAAAAATAAAACCTGTGTAGAAATTTGCTAAGTTTCAAGTGGCCTGTTACAAGCTCAAATTTTGTATGCTACAGTCACTGGTTCTTAATACACACCAGCAGCCAAAAA